CTGGCTGTATATAGCACCAGCCAGCCAAGAGATGGGCACAGAGACACTTGGAGCAACATGAGAGCAATCCCACGCCAGTGCCAGAAGCCTTCCTTCTGCTTCAAACAGCCTCAGATTGGCAGTGAGCCTCCAGAACCTGCCCTTGCCACTGATGGGAACTGTCCCCCCCAGCCTTGGGTGTCCCCCAAACCACTTCCCTCCAGCAGGACAAGGTGCTAAAAGACATGCTGTGACAAGAGTGTGACTTCCCTAAGCAGTGGTGCAGGTACAGCTTCGTTAGCTCAGGTTTCTCAGGCTGTTTGTGCTTGTTTGAGCCTGCTGGGCTCTCCCATGGGTTGAGCACCCTCCAGCTGCTTGCCTGTGCAGCACTGCACCCTGCTCCCATATTCCTTCCCTGGAAAGCACCCCCATCCTCCAGCCCAGTCACCATACCCTGAGAGACATGGCAAGGGCACCCTCTCCATCCTGGAGCCTCTCTGCCAGGCACACTAGACACAGCCAACCCTGCGACAGGGGGGTGCCTGAGCCCCCAGAGCTGCAGCAGGGGGACATCCCAGCAGCGGGGGATGTCCCACTGAGGATGACCCGCTCCCTGGGGTGATGAGGCAGTCAGAGCAATGAGGAAGGCATCTGTGAGTGCTTCTATTGTGCTCACTCAGCTGTCCCCATGGCCAGCTATGCAGACAAGACTGTGGGCAGCTAGCATCCTTTGTCGGTGCCAGCTTCCCTGGAGCCCATTTCAGCAACCAGGTTTCTAAAGGGAACAAAATTTTTAAAGTTAATTGCTTAGGGCCCTTGAAGCCACTTCCTGACACCCAGCAGAGTCCCCATTATGTTCATTGTCAGCTCTGCAAGTCATTCTAGCTGTCTGCCAGTGTCACAGGGCACACAGAGATGACCCATCCTGCTCATCACCTGTGGCAATGCCCCAGCAGCTGGTGGCACCAGAGCTGCCTCTCCACAGGTGCCTGCAAACTGGTCCAACAGAAACCACAGGCTGCCAGCTGCATGGCACTGCTGCCATGAGCTGGGCACAAGGGCCAGGCACCTGGGGGCTCCTCAGCGTGGGACAGCACAGCAGAAAATGTGGTCCTGGACCCTCACGGTGAAGGCTGAGGAAAGTCAGGAATGGTCAGCACCTGTGCTCGCCCTGCTGAGACCCTCGAAGTAGATCTTCAGGATTGCATTCCTGCTGCAACTGAGTGCACAATATTGGTGGCAGCCAAGTGTTTGGACACAGTTCTTCCCTGATTGGGGGGGCATAAAGTCCCTTCATTGACCTTGAAGTATTTGACTTGAAGTATTTGATCACAGAAGTATTTGGGTCAGGACCTCCAAAACTAGGCAGCTTCAGCCTAGAGATTCACAACAGAACAGATTTCAGCGGATATTTTCCAGCCTCCCGTCTCCCTGACTTGCTCCCTAGAAAGTGCACAGCCATCCGAGTCTGGGGAAGGGCTCGCTCCCCTGTACATTCCCCTGGCACCCCCAGGGCAGAGAGCAGATCTGCAGGTCTACTCTGTCCTCCCTCCCTGCCTCTCACCAGCGCCGGAGCCCGTGTTTTCCTGGGCTGGGCACGGCAGCAGCTCCCACGTGTGATGATGCCCTGCCGGCTGTCTCTGCGTGCTGCAGCACGTTCTGCCTACGAGCTATGGCAGCGCTGCTGAAAATCCTCCCGGCCAGGAACTGCACGTATCAACTCCCGGTTTAGTCACTTCAAAACTATCTGGTTAGTGAGAGTAGGGAGGAAGACTGTACCCCAGGCAGAGATTGCACATGGAAATACCAATGAGATGACAGTGTTCTCTGAGAAGTACAGGAACAACGGGAGGAATAATAAAACACTGCCGTTTCCATCCACACAACTGTATCCCACGGACAGACTAAAGGCAGGGATCCTATTGGAAGTCACATCTGATCAGTATCTGTCTGGCCTGGATCCGTTCTGCTGCTGAGGAGAGACAGGCTGAACCCTGCCCACTAAAACCAAAGGAAAATGAATGATGGAAAGAGCAGAAGGGGCAGCTGCCGAGCCCAGGCCAGCAGCCCTGCTCCAGCAGCAAGGAGCCACCTGCGCCCACCTCCTCTTCCCCCTGCCCAGGGCATGGTCTGGGTAAGCACGGTGTGCTGCTGGTTCTTGGAGTGCAACCAGTGTTGCTGCTCTCCTAGGGAAAAAAACTGATCAAAAGAACAATGACTCAGTCAAATTCTTGTGTGTTGGGATGTCCAACAAAGCCAATTGCCAGCTGAACCCTGAAGAACAACCAATCTCTTAGGCTGTTCTGGGGCAAGTGGGGTATGGAGGTAGAAGTCTCATCTGGTTAGCTGCAAGAGTTGTCCTGTGAGTCAGTACTGGCTAGTTAGAAAATGCTTCTCTAACTGAATGTAAGCCAAAATATTCTGTAAAGCCTTGTTTCCAACCACATTTTTTTTGGATTAGTGGCCAGAAAACCCCAGCACATCAGGGAAAAAAAAAAAAAAAACAACACTGGAAAACAAAACAGAAGATGGCTTTTGAGGTTTTCCTTTGCATTGGGGTGTTCAGAAGGAGAAGGGAAGCTCTTGCACTCTCTCTGACACTTGGGTTGGGGTAGAGTCTGGAAAGCACATATTTTTATTAATTCACATACTCAGAAAAGGGAAAAAAATCTCTACGTAATCCCCAGACAAGGGGTGCTGGTGCTAAGCCTCATTTTCAGGAAAGAAAACATGGCAAAATTCAAGAGAAACACATGCATAAAAAGAAGGAAATATGAACAAATCAGAAAAGCTATGTTATATCCCGTTCTATCCTGATGGCTTGACAAGTTGCTTCCCCCGCTCTCATTTCCATGGTTTTTTCCATTCTGTCTCCATGCAGTGTTAAGGGGACAACAATGGGGTCAGGATGGGCATGAGCTGTGTGTCGAATGCCCACCCCAACTCCCCCCCAAAAGTGACTTCAGTCAATATCTCACCATGGAGCAACACGGATGATATTCAAGCCTCTGCGAGAGGGGTCTGGAGGAGCAGGGTGCTGAATGCAGGCTGCAGCTGCCAACCCCTCCCTGCAATGCCACACTATTCTGCAAAATTGTCAAGTGCACATCACAACAGCTGTACTTCTCAACAGGAAAAAACTCTCTGTCATGTGCCTGGATGCACCCTTCATTTTGTTTCTATTTGATCTAATTCTGCTGACAAAGGACATCCTCTAGGGACAGGATCTCTTTGTATTAGGTGAGGCATAAATTCCAGCAGTACTTCGACCCTCTCCCAGGAGGAGAAATGGGGTCTAAAAATTTCAGAAAAGGTCAGAAAAGAATTAACGTGTGCCAGCCAGATGTGAACAGATTTGTGACATGACTTTCACACTGTCACTGCAGGACTCTGAAACCATTTCAATGGGGTGTCTCAGCCTGAAACACGTCACTGCCAGTGCTCCCAGTGCAAGTCTGGGCTGGGTTCACAGGCTAAGAGAAAAGGGTTTTTCCACATTAAAGGCTTTCTCTCCGTTGTCAGTAATAAACAAGGGAAGAGAGGAGCCTATCCTGTTCCTGCGGTCCAGGTTACTCACATTTTACAACGCTTGGAGCACATGCACGGAAGGAAAAAAAAGACAGCATACAAACATAGGAAAATCTTTCTGGGACCAGAATATTTTCCCATCTGTCCTGTCATCAAGGCTGGCCAAGAGCAGATGCCAAAGCAGAGCACAGACATGGGGCAGATAAGTAGCAATATCCCTGTGAGCTTCCACAAGGACATGTCATTATGCAGTTTGGGGCCTCTGCCTGGACTTTCCCACACTGGGGTTGAAATCCAAGGTGAGTCCTGCTGCAGGGGTCTGCTCCAGCCTCCTTGAATGCATCCTGATGCCCCCAGCCATGGCTATGGGAGCCATCCCCCCAGACACATCATCCAATCTGCTTGTGCGCACCCATTGCTACCCATGTTCTGTTGCTTAGCACCAGTGATAAACAGGACATATTCCTCTGGCCAGGTGCCTGCCCAAGGCATGCAGGATCAAGTCTTCCCCCAAAAACCTCTCTGAACAGCACCATTTGGATTATGAGGCAGTGACGCTATCTCCTGATCACGCTTTATCAATGTCATCCTGCTAGGAAAACTGGCACGGGTCTGCCTGTCCTTTGGCACAGATCTCTTTGCAATCCCCTTGCCTTGGCCCATGTTTTCCCCAGCATTGCAAAACCTCTTCAGGATGGTCTTGGCTCACTGCTAAACATATGGCAGGTTTCTTGCCGGGATTTGTCCAGCCACTTCTCCCCAAGGTCAGGGCTCCCTGCCTCTGGCTCCAGACAGTTCCACAGCTTTTGCCTTCTGTGCCAGTTTGAGTTTTGCTCTGGCATATAATCTCAGCCACTGCAAGCCGTACTCAATTTTTCATAAGCTCTTTCTTCAGCCTCTCTGATTTTCCAGCATCCCCTTCCAGCTGTCTACAAACTGAGAGAAAAATCCGCCCCTCCCCACTGCACTCCACCCCACAAGGTGCCTCCTTTTAAGCTGCTGTCTAATGCTTCCAGACCACCCCACTGGGAACTGCGAGCTCCTGGCCACTTTAATCGGGGAGAGGTCTTTGGCAGAGGAGGACGCCCCGCTCTCCTCCCTATCCCCATCCCCATCCAAGCACTTGAGCTGCAGCAGCAGGTCAGATCCAGGACCCAGTCCTGCCCTTACACCCAGCCTGGCGGAGATACCAGGGCTGACTAAAGTGACAGCAGACTCAGGAATGTTAAACCTGGACGCACCATTTGCAAGACACCAAAGCGAGATGAGGGTCCAGCCCTGCGGAGCAGCGAGCGCTGCCGGGCTCCATCAGCAAAGGCGGCAGCGGGGCTCCTTGCAGCGGGATGCAGCGCGGCCGGCAGGGACGGGCGGGCTCGGCTGGAGCTCCGCTCTACGAAGCGCTGTTTCCGCCGCACCCCGCCTGCCCCTTTCGTGTACCCCCGCAGGAAGCAGCCCCGGCCGGGTGCCGGGCCCCGAGCGTGGCGGGACGCGCCCCGACGGCTGCCGGGCCACCGGGAGCCCGCGGCGCGCACAACCACGCGCGGAGCCCTGCCAAAGGCAGCGGGTGCCAAACCTGAATTACCAGCCCAGAGAGCGGCTGTGGATCCCGGGAGCTCCTGTGATTTGCGGCAGGTTTTTCAGGTCCCCGCCTGTCAAACACACACGCAGATACTTAAGCAGTCACCCAAGGACCTGCGGGGTTCTTGTTTTACACACTTCTGGTCCCTGCCAGCTCCAGGTAAGCACAGGCTCCGAGCTGGGGGTGCTGGGGTGGGTTTGCAGCTGGGGATGGGGGGGATGGAGGGAGGTGCTGCCCTGTGAATGCTGATGCTGAGGAGGTCGGAGCTGCACCCAGCGGGGCAGGAAGGCTCATGCCCGGGGCAGGCAGAAGAGCACCAGGCAGGAGAGACCCCAGGCATGGGCCACCGTGTCGTCCTGTTCTGCTGCAGCAGCTGCTGTGCTCCTGTTTGCTTTGTTCCCATCTGATATTATCTTCTAAAAGACTGGACGGGTAGTTTACAGGATGCATGACAGGTGTTTTTTCCTTATTTATGGCAGGGCCCGGTTTATTTTTAAAGCCTCTGTCCCACCTTATCCTGTGCGCCATGCTGGCTGACGTTATCCACAGCCACCCCGCAGCAGGAGGCTGAGCAAAGCTCAGGACAGGACACGGCTCTGCAGCAGAGCAAGGGAGGGTAAGAGGGCTCGTTTGCATTGAGAACTGCTATTTTGATCCCTGCAGTGGCAGGAAGTAGCTGCAAGCTAAAACCAGGTGCAGATGCCTCCAGTCGCATCCCAGCCCTGACAGTGGGAGCACTGGGAAAGGGGTCAAGAAGCCCAGCAGAGCCTATGGAGCCCCATCAGCTTGGCAGGAGCTACTGCTCAGAGAGATTTCTAGGGGCATTGGGTGTAGTAAATCATTAGAGTTGCACAGCCAGCCAGTTATTGTGACTACTGTTCAAAAAAGCAAAGCTGAGCAAACAGAGATCATGTCTTTTCTAGAAAAGTGGCAGATTTCTGCCAGGATAGTAAATGCTGACTGCACTAGCAGTGCTGGGCAAGCATGCTGGGAGACAGAAAGATGTCCTGTCCCATTTCAGGCCAGAGCTAGGAGTCCTATTAGTAACCCCAGGGTGTTTCTGGGGAGCTGGGTGCAACCACAGGACATGGGCAGAGTACTATATATTTATAATAAGACTTTCTCTTGCTGCATCTTGTGTCCATCAGCCGCTGCCTTTTGTCTGCTCACTCCAAAATGGCCCTGGAGGTGCCTTTTAATGCCCTATCAGCCACACTAAGAGCACCAGGTGCTGGCTGTCATGTACATAGCAGTGCTGGCTGGAGCTGCCCACAGCCCAGGAAACCGCTGAACCACTTGCAAGCTTCTGCTCTCACAATGTTCTACCTAAAACCAAGACAGTCAGAGCCAAGCGTGAATTCCCCAGGGGTCTTTAGTTTGACACTTAGGACAGAGCAGGTGTGGTGGTTTCCCTGTGACAGTGCATCTGGCATTGTCATTTCTGCCTAGGTGAGTACAGCCCAGCTGAATGACAACTGCAGCCCCACAGCCCTTCTGAATGGCTAACATTCCTTGCACTGAAAAAGCCTTGTTTTGTTGGTTTTTTTTTTTTCAATGTTGTCAAAAATTTAAGAGGAAAAAGCAGTGACAAGTGATGCTTTTCAGTAGCTAAGCCAAACAGCTGTGAGTCTCCATATTTCTACCAGGCTTATAGAAATGTGAGACAATAGCCTTTCCTGTACAGAGGAGAGGTGTTGGACAGCCTGAAGGCCAGGCTGCATGCCCGGGCTTAAATGAGGCTCCGTTTAAGTAGTGGGCAAGTGATTAGTGGTCTCTATAGGGCCAGTCAGAGCATTTAGGCACTCCTGGTGCCCTCAAGTCATGTCATATACCCCCAATTTGTAGCACTGAGGAGGTGCCAAGTGCTAGAGGCCATATGCTGCACAGGGGTTACATGGCTCCTGAAAGCCTCTAGGATGTAGTGGAGTGATGTGGAGGCCTCCAGGAGCCCCAGTGTTCTTGCGTTTTCCTGAAACCCATCTCACAGCCTTGAGAGGTAAAAGCTGTTCTGCTTCCGGAGCAGGGGTAGAGGGGACACAAAGAAAAGCCTTCAGGTATCACATCCCACATGCTGGGGCACCCTGAGCTGCCAGCAGGTAAAAGATAGCGTGTCCTACGGGGAAACACCTCAGGAACCCGGAGATAATCAGAAGCAGAAATAGCTGTGCAGGTGAAACATGAAAGGTGAAGCGTGTGTTCCTATGCAAATCCATGCACACACATCAATGCACATTAATGCGGCAGGCTGCAAACAATGATTTATGAACTGCCAAGGCATGTTGCTGCTGGTGGCCCAGTCTAGATGCATGATCTGGAGGTGATGAGGATCCCTTTGTGGCTGGGCTTTCTATGAGAAGGGCAGGTGGCTCAGTGGTGTGCTTCAAAAAGGAGAGGCAGGACTTGTGGCCTGAGCTTGGCCTCATCTACATTTTTACCTCATGAAGAGCCTAGCAGGCAAGTACTGGAGAGCAGCACCTCAAGTCCAGGGGACCTCCTTCTGCCCCTGCATCTTTTCCTGACGTCTACAAACATCTAAGGTAGGTGAGCAGCATTCAGCAGACTCCTGCTACCTCACATGAATGAGGAACTGAATTATGACTGCCCCCTTCCTATATGGATGCTTCTGAACTGAGCTGACCCCAGGAAAACCCAGGCAGCTGCAAAATGCTCCACAGACAAGTCCAGCTTGGCTTGCAGTACCTGGGCTTAAAGATGGTCTTTCCTCAGTCCACCCAGGCCTGGTGGGTGATACCGTATACCAGCACTCCATTGTGCTCAGAGGTGCTCCAATGTTATGCAACCACTGTGTTACAATCTGTATTTACCAAGTGACTCAAGCAGAGTGGGCTGTTTCACAACCAGCCCTGGTCTATTTATAAGCCCCTACTCAAATGCCAAAGGATTCTTTATTAGTCAAAGCACTTTCTGTAGAGGAGGCTCAGGGGGATCTTTGCTTTATGAGGTAAAGTTCAAAGAAGGAGATCTCTCCAGCCTCTCACTACACCTGGCTCTTCACAAGCTGCAAGACAGTTTTGAAGCTGAGCTCCATCCTAGAAGTTCTGTCAACAAGTGAAAGCCCTGGGGCATTCAATACTCCAGGGCACCTTAAGGTGAGTTAGCAGTCAACCAAGAAAGCAGCTGGGTTTAAACCTATGCAGTAGGAGTGCAGCATGATAGATGTTCCAGGATTATACCCCAGAGCCAAAGGGAAGGAAAAGCTGGACTCCAATGTAGGGGCAGGGCAGGTCTGCAGCAGATGGCTCACAGGAGTCTCAAGAAGGGCCAAGGGCTCCTGGCAGCACTGGAGAGCCAGCAACACCAACCAGCCAACCTGACAGAGATGGGCCAGGCAACTGGGACAGCAGGAGAGCAGATCAAGAAAGGCCACATTTTTGCAACCAGCTCCTCCCCTGCCAGTACCCCACAGCCTGGTTTCAAAAACACTGCAGTGATTCAGCATCAAGGGACTTGTGCATGCTGTGTGGGGGCAGTGCCTCGTGTTTTAGTTGAGTGAATTAGCAAGCTCGACCCTTGAGTGAAAGCAAACCTGGAGCCCAGCAGACGAGAGGTTTGGGACATAGCAAGATGCACGTGTTTTGCTTGTTCTTTTGGGCCAAATCTTACAGAGATCATGCAAAGCACAAGTGGGACAAATGTTACTCTGGAGGAGAACTTGGGCTTCTTGGTGCTGCCGTTGCTGGGGGCACCTAGGACTGACCACAGTCAGAGGCAGCAAGTGCTTGACCAGCAGACATACACTGGGTACAGTCTTTGAGGATTTGAACACTTATACACCAAAACCCAAACAACCAACCAACCAACCAACCAGCCAACCAGTTCAGTGAAGCTCAGGCACAACAGGACTGTTCATGCCCAAATGTGGTAACATTAAATATTACTTCAAACAATGCAGCTTACCTTCTCGTGGCCAGCATTGTGTGATGTCCGGCCATACTGCTAAGAGAAGGACCGGGACACTGACCCTGAGGAGAGGAAATAGAGTGGTTGTTGGGTCGAAGGCCATGCTCCCAGAAGATCTTGTATGCTGTTTTATCATTCCTTTGCACAAACTTGTCTGGGAATCACTGGGAAGTAGGGAAAAAAAAGCAACAGCCCACTAGGTTAGATAGCAGATATTGTCCATTCACCCAGAGGATAAATAATGTTTTTTAGCTAATATCTTTAAATGAACCCCCTGAACATGCCCATTGGTGTGACATCACTCCTAAGTGACGCCCAGGCCTAAATACGGCTGTAAACAGGAATCGTTCCCATGGGAGTCACACTGGCTATAAATACAGCACCAGGGGAGTGCTGAGCAGCCTGCAGCTTCCTGCCAGCTGAGGATGGTGAGACAGCTCAGCACTGGGCACTGCTGGCGTGTGGTTGCTGCAGTGAGGAAATGGAGACAGGAGTTGCTGGGGGGCTGGTACTCCCAGCTGAGCCCCCTGGCATGTCTTTGGGAAGGGAGTTGAGCCCTGCTGCAGCCTGAGGCCACAGCTGGGGCCGGGGGGGGTGAGGTTGGTGGGGACACAGATGGCAAATCTGGGGCTCAGCAAGTGTGGCCCCACTGGCCACTCCCAGCTTGAGCAGTGACACCAGCCCCTCTCTGCAGTGCCTGGCCCCATAGCCCTGCCCCAGGAGGAGATGGCCATGGAAAAGCCAGTGATTCCCACTGAGGAGCAGCTGGAGATCCTGGAGTACCACTTCTGCAAGGTGAATAAGCATCCTGACGCCACCACACTGTGCCTCATCGCTGCTGAGACCGGGCTCTCCGAGGAGCAGACTCTGGTGAGTGCATGCCCCTCATCCCGCCCCTGGCACCAGCCCTGCTCCCCCTGCATGCCTCTGTGCCCCACATCTCCTGCCTGTCCTGGTCTCTCTGTCGTACACCTGCACCTGTCTGTCCCCTGCACAGGCTTCCTACAGCAGCCCCTGCCCTTCTCATGCTCCCCCCACACTGCCTGCACTCCTCGGTGCCCCATCTGCTCCCTCTTGCACTCTCTGCACCACCGTGCACCCTGCACACTCCTCACTGCACCCACAAGTCTCCTCTGCACCGCTGCAAGCCCCAGCACACCCCTAACTACACCCACAGAGTTCTACTGTAACACAGCACCTCCCTGTACCCCACATCCTTCCTGCACTTCGTGTGTTTCTGCTCCTGAATGTACAACCCGTGCATGCTGTTCTTCCAAACCATTTCTCATAGTCTTGGATGCACAAACTACTGCTGGTTTTAAGGTCTGAAGAAACTACTGTCATTTTAAAACAGATAGAGGATAGATGCAATTCCTGCAGGATGTGCTGTGGGACATGCTCAGGCTGTGCACCCTCTGCCTCAGCATCCCTAAGCCCACATGTCAGCCTCTCCAGGAGACACAGAGACCTCCAAATACCCCTCCACAGGGACAGGCTGCCACTGTCTGGGAACTCCACCAAGCCCTGTGCTCCAGCTGGCTACCTGTGGGCTATCATGGGCTTCAGAAGCAAACGGCTTCTTCACAGTTCCTTCAGGTGGCAGTGCAGCTCATTGTGATGCAGGTGTTTACTACACCCCTAGCAGCATTTATGGGTATAGAAGAGAAATCCAACCCACTGGAAAGTTAGCAGCAGTTTGCAGAGAGCTGCTAAGCCTGGCTCTCCCTCAGCAAAGCCAAAGGGGTATAAAAGCCAAGCTGGCAATGTCAGCATTTAGCCTGTCCCAGGGAAAGATGCTGGAACAGCATCCACTGCGCTGATAGTCCTCAGCTGGAATGGACTGAATGGACTATGCTTTGGTGACAGGCAGGTATCAATCACTGCTTGTTTGAGGCAGCACCCCTAAAATGCCTTTTTCTCCATAGAAATGGCACTGTTCCTTTTTTTTTCTTTTTTTTTCCTACAGCAACTTGTAAACACAAGCCATATGTGCCCAGGGCATCTCTGTAGATCTTTTCCTGATAGCTATCTTTTCCCACTAGTCGAGAGTGCTCCTAGACATCTGGAGATGAAGGTCATGTTAGGGACAGGATCAAGACTGGGGTGGTGAGTTGCAAAGTGCCTGCATTGCGTAGAACACAGAGAATCATTGCCCCTGACATCTGGAGTGTTTTATCATCTAGAAATAGCAGCCATTTTAATAAAAAATTCAGTAAGAATAAGATGCAAAGAGGACATGATGGTTTAGGACAGAAAGTGTAATTTTTGAGAGGAGGCTAGGCTGTCAATCATATGACTGGATGTGGTCAAAGGCAGTGTGAGAGACACTTGTAGAGAGCACCGTGGTTGTATCATTACAGACCATAATGGCTTCAAAAATAACCATGAACAAATATAGAAAGAAAATGAGCTGCAACAAAAGGAATCACAGGCACGTTGCCAAACAAAAGGCTGAGCTGTGCTTCCGGCACATGAGTTATATTTTTTTTTTACTTTTCTTCTTAGGTAGTGTAGCTTTAACTAGATACATTTTATCTAATATTTTAAATTGTGGCTGCCTTGAAGTGGCATCAGCAGCTCCTGGAATGGGCTTCCAGATGCTAAGTTACAACAGACATAGTGCTAAGTTACTGCTAACACTGATGTGCGTATTGCCTGAACACTAAGACAATTTTTAAACCATTTTAAAAATAGATTTATTCTTACATTTGTTGAAAGCCAATGTGCTGTACCTCTCATGCTTTCTGATACAGGTGAGCTTTTGATTCCTGTCAGTTTTGGACCCGCAAGCGATTGTTTCACTTCTCCAGTCATTTAAACAGACACCATCCAGCTCCTTAGCCAATCCCTTACTCTGCAAGAAAAACCTGAACTCACAGCAATAAAAAGGACTCACCCATGCTGTCAAGGTCTGAAGAGAGCTAGAGAAATGAGTTTGAAGAGGTACACACATAGGTTACAAGACTGTTTGGTCAGGAGCGACCATCCTGGCTGCCTGTACTGCCTGGGAACAGCACCTTGCCTCAAGGCAGCAGCACCACGAGTTCCCCTCACCTCGTCCCATGTGCTGACACCTGCACCTTTAGCAAAGTTACTCAGCAGCTTCTCTCAGCCCAGTGCACTCAGTCTCTGCTTTGTTGTTTCTCTCCAGAAATGGTTCAAGCAGCGCCTGGCGGAGTGGAGGAAGTCTGAAGGGCTGCCCTCAGAAAGTGGGTCTGTCAGGGACTAGAGGATGCTGCTCCAGTCCCCTCACCTCTTATAAAGGATGGTGAAGCTCTTCAGAGTGGGTTTCCTCGGGGTTCTTCTGTTGCAATAGGTTTTGCGATACAAAGTAATACTCTGCTATTTAACATAAATTTTATTTAACATGTACATAACAAGAAAAAACCCATTATATATATATATATATATATATGTGTGTGTATACAACTTTTGACGGCTGATAACCTGTCTAATGATTCCAACCCATTAACAGCAGCTGCACAAGAAAAGGCAATTTCATGCCCTTGTCCCAGGCTTACAGACAATTTGCCATGATACGTGTTCAAATATAGAAGGAAGAAATAAAGATTTGTTTTCCTTACAATTCCCGGAGGCAAAGTATGTATGCTAGCTTTAAGGTACAGATTATCCAGAGAGCAGGGCATCTGGAAAACCAGGTGTGCTGTTCAGGTGACCTGTTTTGGCTCAACATGCCTGAATCAGCTCTGGATGCTGGCAAAGCAAGTCCTACACCATAATCAGACCAAGTCAAGCATCCCTTGAATGCCTTTTTTACCTTTCTGTTAAAGGTCACCAAAGAGAAAGAACTCACGGGGTGTTTTGGGATTTTTCCCAGTGTAATTATAAAAACCCAGTGTTTTTTGATGAGAGGAGGTCTATTATGTCCCTGCTTGTGCTCCCTGCCACCGTGACAGGAGGCAGACTCCTTCCCTCTGGAAGGGCAACGTTGCTCTCAGGCAGCCTCAGTGGGCACAGTGGGTTTTCCCTTTGCCACAGGGACAGCCATGGGCAGCCTCGTCTCCCAGGGCACCTGTGGGTCCGTGCATGGCAGCCCACACAGCCCCACACAACTCCTAATCCCTGGAGAGGCAGAGGCTGGTGGTGCTGGGGTTCCCCCACAGCATGGGGGCTTTAGGAGGAGACCCCAGTCTCCTTCTGGCCATTCTCAAGCCTGAGGAATGCAGCTGCACTGAGGCTCTTGCATGAAGTCCAAACTCTCATCCATTTTGACACAGGACAATGCCTAGTCTAAAAATAACCAGCACTGTTGCCCAGTGACCTTACCTTGTTCAAAAGGCCGCAGAAGCACTCTACTTAGTGGATTACTGAATCAATTAATGGATCCTCTGATTAATCCCTTCTGGTTTGTGGTCACCTGCCTCTATTCCTCTGGAAGGAGAATCAGCTTAACACAGGGAAGATTAAAATATATTGTCTCTGAAACTGCCATATGCTTTCATTTGTGGCTTTTGTCTCTTACTGGTGAGCATCTCTTTTGCTTCAGTATCTCCAGCCTGTTGTCAGTGGTTGGGCAGCCTGTGCAAAACACACTGACCTTGTAGGAAGCAGATAAAAGCATTCTCCCTTATGCCATGCCCCACACAGGCTGTGTTGTTCCCCTGCAATCCAGCTGCCAAACTGACTCACCCACAAACCCAACTGGAGCTCAGAATTTGTTCTGCAGACTCTGGCATCAATACTTGCTTCCTTCTAAGCGTTTGCTACTTGTCTTCTCTCTTACTCTGAGGGGAACTCTGCTCTTTTGAGTTAGGCTCCAAATACCCCAGTGCAGAACTCTCTTGTTTTGCCCAGGGTCACACAACTGAGTAGCTGAACCACACAAATTTTCACCCACCTACGTAACTGGATCTGCCTGTTCTCCAGGCATTTGAGAAAACAGGCCCCAAATCCAAGCCAACTCAACATACTTTGTAGCCTTTTGTATTTCTACTTCTGCCACAAGCACAAAACTTCTGAGTGTCAGTAAGAGGATGATTAAACTTTAGCAAAAATTTTTAAACCCTAATTCAGGAGTTGTGTTGCATCAACTTACTGTGTGCTCTTGGGTTTGGTTTGCCACACTTCCCTACATGAAAGGACAGTTCCTGTGCTGCTTTCCCCCAGCAGTTGTTTCATTACTTCTTAAACTATTACAGCAATCAAGAGAGAAACTCCAGACATAACCCATCCTAGGGACAGAGTCTTCCCACATTAGGTCGAGTTCTCTTAATTTTCCCTGATGACTATTCTTAAGGAATGATGCTTTTATTTGAACTCACAGAAAGTGCTCCTGCTGAGTGCTACCTCTGCACTGTGTTCAAGGAGATTTTCGAGCCACAGCACAGGCCAGAGAGAGTGATGTTCCAAGGGGTGATGTGGGCAGATAGCAGGAGCATTTCTGAGGGTGCTTAGCGCTGAATTGGTCGAGCTAGTTCTTCGATCCGTGGAGAACAAGCTGCCTTTATAGCAGCCTCCTTCACTTTGAATGCATCTGGGTTGAGTGTAGTCAAGCCCATACGAGGTCTGGAGGAGAGAGGGTAGGGATGGTTAATCCTCACTGGAGCAAGGCCAGCTGTCAGCTGCCTGCCAGCTGCCACACCTCCACCTAAGCCTGCCCTTCCCTGTCAAAAAAAAAGGCATCACACCTCCACTGCTGTCGTCAGGGGAGGGATATCTCTCACAGCCACTACAGCCAGGCATTCCCTCACCCTCTGTGAAACAACCTCCCCAGAACTTCCTGCAGACTGGGCTGAGGTCAGCTGCAACATGCTGGGCAACATGAATGTGTTACACTCTGCCCTTTGCCAGTTGGTTGCTTTTTATAATTGGAATTAATAAGAAGTCCCAACCAGTAATTCCTGCTGGAATTTGAAAGTTCCCGTTTCTTCTCTTTTGGCTCTCCTTCTACCTCAAAAGAGCTTTTTAAACAGCAATCCAAGTAGCATCCACATCCAGACATATAAAATCCATGCATTTTGAAAGTGGAAGAGTACTTCCTAATCTTGGCCTAATCTCTCTGGCCAAACACAAATGAACAAGGTGCCATGAGCCACACAAAATGGACTGGCAGCTGATCATTTCCCTGTGATGGGGAAGCCATACCTACCTTGTGCTAGGCTGGGCCAGCTCCACAACCCTTGGTGTAGCCACTGCATGCTTGGCAGCCTGTGTCACAGGCCACTCAGGATCCCGTGGGGGCATGTACTTAGCATGGACTTGTTTCGGCTTCGAAAGCTCAATGGTCCGAGGGCTTGCAACTGCCTTCTGAGATGACCTGGAAACCTGTGGAAGAATTGGGAGGAAGGTCCTTAGATGTGCTCCTGGCATTCAAGCGTGCTCAGCGTGCAACCAACTCAGGGTTCCCAGGTTCACAGTCACTGACCACAGGCAGACGGGACATGATCCTGTCCTCAACAGTGTTTGCCACCAGACAAACTGTAGAAGGAGAAATCACTGCCTGGCCAGTCCCACAACCTGCTCTCCAGCCTCCTATTACTCACAGACCTTTGTCCAACCCACCCCCAGCACTGGAGATCCCAGTTAGGCACTCGTCCACCTCTCCCCATCCCCACAAGTGCAGGCTAGGCACAGCTCTGCCATTCTCTAGGGACATGTGCTGGGAGTCAGTTCATGCTCTGAATGGAGCACACATCCTGCTTTCCAGCTCAGGAAGCAGCTAGGCCAGCCTCATGGAGAGCAGCACATCCAGGACGGGATGAAGGGAGCCACAAGCAATTGAGCACCTGTGCCCTCTGCCAAGAGTCCCATCCATGTAGGGTCCCAGGTGATGCTGCCTTACCGAAGAGATGAGATCACCAGGATGGGTGTGCTTAGTGCAGCAGGTTGTCTCCCTTATCAAGGGCTCTGCGAGCTTCTGGACCCGTGCTGATGCATTGGCTGAGGTTGCAAAGCTGGAAACTTGTGTTGGCACCTGCATAGGTCCAGAATGAGGGAGGGATGTGCAGACACAGAGCTTGTACAGCAGCCCACAGAGACATGCTCCCTCTCCACAAGGATGAGCATCCCAGCACCCTTCCTTTGCAGACATGGTCACTCTTAATTTTCCAGAATCCATTATCTTTCTTTTACCTAAACTATTAAGTAATTTTGGTGCTATAGCGATTCCCTAGCTGTTGCCCACTCAGAGCCAGGACAGGAGTGCCTGTAATGAGAGCCTGTGTAGCCAGGTAACAGTGCAGAGAAATTTCTTCCATGTTTTTTATATTCATATTCCTGGCTGAATCACGTAATTTCCCAGCTAAGGAGAGACACTCAGATTTCAGGGTAAATTTGCTCGTACAGTTAACTTAATTCCTACAGAAAATGTGATTATTTTTTCAGCGGGGACTTCTTCCAAAATTTTTCAGAGAGTCACTGTTACCCAGTCCTGCTCCAGCCCAGCCTGCTATTTCCCAGCTCCAGAGGCGGTACAGAGAAAATGTAGCCTTTGCCATGGAAATGAGTGTAATCTGAGATTGTTCCAAGCCCTTTCACCCCTGCCAAAGCAATGACCCACCTAAAAGGAACAAGCCCAGAAATATAAATTAGGCTTCTGGTAAAATGTAGTTAAAATACACATAGTATTCGCAATCTCATGCCCGCTGCGTACTCCGATAGGAGCACAACTGCCCAACTACAAACCTGACTGCTCCCTAAGAGCTAAACATGCCATTTCCATCAGGTTTCTCCACTTTTCCAGGATGCTTTATCAGAGGATGAAGCCCAGATGCCTCCCTTGGCTCTCCTGCTATACTAGCCTGCTCCAGCCTGTCTGGTTTTTGTCTCCCAGCAGGCGATTTGCAAAGCCAACATTATTCTCTGAAAAGGCAGTTTCTCCCAGTGTCGTAAACCCCAGCAGAACCAAACAGCTTCTCCCTTCCACTGGGCACATCCAGGGGTGGCATATGGGGTCTAAAAACTCAGGACAGTTTGCTGCATCCCTGTACCCTCCAAATCTCACTCAACCTCCTCCTCACCTCTCTGGGCGGCATGAAGTCTGGGTGCACCTTCTTTGGCTGGGCAAGCTCCAGTATGCGCTTGGAGGCATTATAGTTCTGTGCAGCCAGGGACACGGACCACTCAGGGGATCTGGAAGCAGAGAGTCATGGCACTGACACTCAAAGATGCTCCCCACTGGCTGCAGCTGGGATGTCTAAACCTCACATTTGCTGCAGCAGAAGGCAGCTTTGTCTTGTGGCCATTTCCAGTGTAGAACTCATCCCATGAGAGAATCCAGAAGTTCTAATCCCAGCAGAGAACCTGCTCTGCATTTTGGCCTCTGTTTATCCATCTTCTGTTCCTGCATTTATTACTTTGAAGATGCACTGATGCTACAAGGCCCAAGGCTCTACCTATAGCACCCTGT